GGGGTCCTCTGCCAGTCAGTGGTGAGGGACAGAGCCCACTGTGAAATGCCCTTTAAATTGGTTCTACTGCCTGCGAAAAACTTGGTCTCGCTGCAGATTAAGTCTGTCCCTAGTGACGGGGCACGTGGCTGGGAGTGCCACCAGCTTTGGATCTTCCCCACCTGGAGGCTGCGGCGGGTTGTGTGCCTGCCTGTGACCTGGGCTTGAGTCTCTGCTGTGCCACTGCCTGCCTGGATCAAAGCCCTTGGGGTCTGCAGCCAGGCCCAGCTTTGAGCTGTGGTGACCACCCTCTCCTTCCCTGCAGAAGCTGGCTGGGCTCTACCCCAAGCTGGACTTCTCAGTGGAAGAGCTGCAGGAGCTCTTCCAGAAGCAGCTGGACATGGAGATGACCAGCACTGTCACCATACCGTCTTTGAATATTATTGGGTCCCTGAGCCAGCGCAGTGTCAAAGCGGTAAGCACATGGGTACTGCTGGAGAGGGGCCAGCCACAGGCTGTGGGACACAGTGGGGGCTGCTCTCCAGCCCGTATGGTATCAGCCTGGCATGTCCTGATGTGGCCATGGCATCTCCGCACACCCCGGCAGAGTGGAAGATTCCCACAGCCATCTTCCAAGGCTGGAGAGCCCTTCTAGCACCGCACAGCCCTGCAGGGATTTAGCCCTCACCTTGAGCTGGGCTCGTTAGCAGCTGTCTCCAGCTAGGGATTGTCCAGGGAGATGGATGTAATTACGGGGCACATAATGGCTGCTGTGTTTGGAGCTGGGCAAGCAGATGATCCTGGGCAGTGGGCAGGGGGGCACCTCCTGCTGGTATGTTAGGTGTGTAGAAGGGCAAGGAGTTGTCTTGGGGGTGAGGCAAAGAGGCTGGTGGTGACACCAGGCAGGGGGAAGCTGGGGCATCTGCATGGACCTTTGTGTGAGCAGCCATGGCTACCCCTACCTCATCGTCCATTCCCCTCCTCTGCAGCAGAAGCACCTGGCCTCACTATGTTCCCAGTGGCAGCAGTCACTGCTGCAAGGCCTGCAGGAGTCCAGGCAACACCAGGCTAAAAACATGAAGAAGGCTGGCCCAAAGGCCCTCTACCCCTACCTGTGTCTGCTGAAGGACAAGGAGTACGTAGAGATCATGCTCCAGGTAGGGCGCTGGCCCTGCAGGGTCTCCACAATTGTCGGGGAGCTGGGAAAGGTCCTGCCTCATGGCAGGGGCCCTTCTGCCCTGAGAGCCTCACTTTTGTCCTCTCCAGACCCTGATGAACCTCCCACCCCAGGGTGAGATGCTGTCAATAGTGGCTAAGGAGCTGGGCAGCAAGGTCTACATCAAGTACATGCTGCAGAAGAAGGTGTGCAGCCAGGTGCTGGACAAAGTCCAGAGGGTCTACAAGGACTATGTCCACCTGCTGGCCAGAGACACTGAGGTGAGGCTGGCTCCAAGGTGGACAGCAAGGGGCCAGGCACGTGCCGGGGCAGACGCAGCTCCCATGCCCTTGGAGACTGCTCAGCCTTAAGCATGGAGGTGGGCTGGGCAGGCAGAGTTGGGGGGCAGATGCCCCCCTGTTCGGAGGCTCCACAGCCTGTGGGGGTGCTGCAGGAAATACAGGCTCGGGTATCATCCCTCCAAGCTGGAGGTATCATCCCTAGCAACTCCTTTGTGCAGGCTGGGGGGGCATGGGCAGCTGCTGAATGTGGCATGTGGTGGACTGAAGAAGGTATGGGTAGCACAGTGGGAGACAGGGCAGGGAGCAGAGGCAGAACCACCAATCGAGCAGGGACCAGAAAGCAGAGCTGCTGATCAGGCTGGGGAAGGGGATCTGAGTGGCACGTGGGGTGGGTGTGGATCCCACTAGCGCAAGGGACCCTGGGCTGGAGTGGCTGGGGGAATTCCTTCTGCCAGAACATAGCTCGTTCTCTGGGCTGTCCAGCTCCACAGAGCCCCTGGGTCTGGTGGCCAGGATGGGGCAGGGCCAGGGACAGGGCATGCATGAGCAGAAGGGGTGTTCCTGGAAGCCTGCCTGCCCCTCCCTGGCTCACATGGCTCCTCCTGTCCCCCACCAGCCAGACAGCTACCTGCCACGGGAGTACTGGGAAAAGCTGGAGGCCAGCACCAGCCCCTTGCTGATGAAAAGAGACTCAGATTGGCCCGAGGCCGTGCGCCTGGCGGTGGGCATCTGCCTGCTGGAGCTGATGGTGCAGGTCCTTAAGGTGCAGAGCAACCTGCTGAACTGCAACCGGGAATGGAAACTCATTCCTGTCCTCTACCACGTCTACTCCTTCAGCACCAACCATCGGGTACAGTGGGGCACGGGCCTGGAGTGGGGAGGACTGCAGGCTGGGAGGCTGTGACCTGTTCAAGAGGGCAGGGCCTGGTCCCTGCCTGGTTGAGGGGGTGCTGGGGGTTCATGGCATCCATCTCTGCCCTATGGTGCCAGGTGGCTCGGATGAAGCAAAGCAGGTATCTACTTAGGTTTGCAGGGAGTTATGGTTGCCTGCAGTGCCCACCCCCATGCTGTGCATGGGCCTTGCTTCCTTCCTGCCCTCTGCCCAGGCCCCCGACGACCCATGCCCACACTCAGGCATGCATGGACATGTGGGCATCTTCCCCTTCATGCCTCTCTCATCCAGTTCACCCCACACCCCCTGGCCTTCTTCATGAGAGTCCCCATGGCCCTCAACAGATGAGGAGCCCAGCTGGGCAGGTGCTGGGGCTGCTGCGCCTGAGTGCAGGGGGTTCAAGAGTCTCTGGGCTCAGCTGTGATCAGCTCTCACTTGTGACTCAACCCTTCAGATTGGGCTCATCAAGCCCCACCCCATCTTCAGTCACGTGGTGGTAGATGCGGCCAAGCCCGTGCTGACCTTCAGCACCTCCCAAATGCCCATGCTGTGCCCGCCCATACCTTGGATCTCCCCCAGCTTCGGCACCTATATCCTGTCCCCCACCAAGCTGATGCGCAGCACAGATGGCGCCATCCAGCACCAGATACTGCTGGATGAATGCCCTTCTGCCACCCTGCACCCTGTGCTGGATGCCCTGAACTATCTGGGCAACTGCCCCTGGAAGATCAACCAGCCTGTGCTGGACATCGTGATCTCCATCTTCAATGACAAGGGCTCTGAGAAGCTGGACATCCCGCCCCCACTCTCAGAGGCCCCCAAGCCATCAAAGCAGACCTCAGTGAAGATGGGCTCCCTAGAGAGCAAGGCAGCTATGAGGCAGGAGCTGGCACAGTGCCGGAAAAAGGCAGCGGAGATGTACAGCCTGCGGATGGACGCCCTCTACATGTTGTCCATCGCCAACTACCTGCGGGACCAAGTCTTTTGGCTTCCGCACAACATGGACTTCCGGGGCAGGACCTACCCCTGCCCACCCTACTTGAACCACCTGCGCAACGACGTTGCCCGTGGCATCCTGCTCTTCGCCAAGGGCAAGCCACTGGGCCCCCACGGCTTTGACTGGCTCAGGATCCACCTTGTCAACCTCACTGGGCTGAAGAAGAACAAGTCACTGCAGGACCGGCTGGCCTATGCCAAAGAGATCATGGAGGACATCCTGGACTCGGCTGACCACCCACTCACAGTAGGTTGTGGGAGTGGGAATCTCTGGCCATGTGGGCAGCCCCCAGCCAGCCGGGTGCTGCCCGTTCCCAACATGAGGCCACAGGGGCTGTGCCACCCAGCACTAGCCTGGCATCAGCAGTGGAACTGGGCCCATGGTAGATTAGGCTGGGACCCCCACCAAGCCTCTGGCTTCGAGGCCCTGGCTCAGTCCCTGGCAATCCATAGCACCCCCAGCTCTGGAACTCCTTTTCTGTCAGCTCTGGGGAAGAAAGGGGTTTTCTTCCTTTAAACAAGAGGGAGAGCAGGGTGCTGATAGTCTCCAGCAGTACAGCAGGCTCCGTCTTCATTGAGCCATTTTGTTCCCTGTTCCTCGCTCAAGCTTTACTGCGTCTGCCCTGGGACCCTCTCTCCCAATCTCCCTCAGGGCCGCCTCCTTTCTTTGCAGGCTCAGTCAGCCACAAACCAATTACAAAACTATGGACTGAACCCCAGGGACAGCCCTCACGAAGTACAGTGAAACAAAGTCATGGGGATCCAGGCAGGGGGGCAGTCTTTGGGCCCTGCTGCCAAGCTTAGGCTGCCATCTGCCCCTGGGGTGACGGGCGTCTAGATGTCTTACTTAGGGAACTGTTTACCAGTGTTACGGTAAAGCTTGCCCATGCGGAGCCGCCCCCAAAGTGCTCCCCACCGATCTGCAGCTAGAATCCAGCTCTCCCAGGGTCCTTCGTCACAGACTGTCACTTACGTGAGCCCTGAGCTGAGGTCGGGTGGCATCGGGCTCCCCTGCCCTTGCATGGTTGCAGTCAAAAGAGGCAAAGTGTGGGAGGAGTGGGGGAGACTTGGAGCCAGGACCCTTGGGGTCTGTCCCTGGCTTGGACTCTAGGCTATATGCACTGCCTCTGCTGTGTGACACTGTACCATTCCTCCCTGCAGGGCCGCAAGTGGTGGATGGGCACGGATGAGCCGTGGCAGGTCTTGGCCTGCTGTATGGAGATTGCCCGGGCCTCGCGGGTGCCTGATCCTGCTGCCTACATCTCGCACTTCCCCATCCATCAGGTCAGGCTCAGTGGGATGGGGGGGAGCTGAGGCAAACCCTGGGGAGCTTTGGAGGCCCTGGACTGCAGTGAGGCAAGGGGGTGGGGTTTTATCAGCCAGACACAGCCCCATGTCTACTCCAGGGAAGGAGTCGAGCTGTTTGCAAGTGCTCCCTGCTGTCTGAGCCTGCCCAACCCAGGGTGCATGCAGGAGGAGCTAGTGTGTGCACACAAACACACATGCATGTCCCCACGTGCATAAACACTCACCTGCCAATGCACCCATGACCATATACACATGCACATGACTGGGCTGATTCTTAATTAGCAGCTGCTTCTGCCATCCAGGGATGAATGCACTGCCTCTACATGCCCTGTCACGTCCAGGCTTCTCCCAGACATTCCCATACCCCTGGGACGTAGGGGAGCTGTGCTTCATAGTGGGGAAACAAGCAGGGAGCAGTGACATGAGTCACCTGAGGGTCCTGGGCCTTGGTGCAGTCCCAGGTAGTGGCTCCTGGGTGCCCTCGTGATGCGGAGAACAGGGGTTAGCAATGTTCCTGCCTAAAGGGGGGGGGGGGGTCTTTCCA